AGTAGTAGTATTATCAGTTTTATCTCAAGGTGCCAAAAAGAATAAGTGCGCTCCTGAGTTCTGAATAATGATGATCATAATATGCGTGCGTAAAGGCCGGGCGATCGCGAGCGTTCGCGGGCGCCCGTGCCCGTTTTCAGCGTTTTGCCGACCCCTGTTGTACAATATGTTAAGAATCAAACTAGTCCTTAAAACATTTACCAGTGACAAGGAACTTGAAAACGAATTTTTACATTTGATGGGATATTGAACACACAGTTCAATTGTCTCAGAAATCTGAGCCACGCAAACGAACTTAATATCTGGATAAACGAACTGCTTTTAGGCTTGAATAACAAAATGCAAAAATTAAGTAATGAAATTAGAAAATCGGAAGATTTAATAGTAGACGGCAGACACGGAACTGTGCAAACATATATTCTATCTCCTAAAAAACTTTTCAGCGTTCTCAGAGAACACACATATTGATAATTTCCTGTCCCCTTAGAAGAAAGATATTATACTACTCTTATAGATGTAAGCGACGTATCGATAGCCTTAACGGAAAAAAGATTGTTACTACAATTGTTAATTCCGTTGATAGAAGATAAGATATTAGACTTGACTAAAGTAATATCCCTTCCGAGACACGTGTAGTTGAGACAGTCTATTATAGATACTACGCAAAAACTTATTTTGTTAGATCTCTATAGAACTATTTTTATGCCTGTAAACGAGTTAGAATTAACAAAAACAAAAAAGATAGGTGATTATCAGCTACTAAAAAGGACTTATCCAGATTACAAAACGGGAATAAAAAATAACTGTCTAAGCAAAATACTTACAAAACACGAATCGGAAAAATGTACAACAAAGTATATGCAAATTCAAAATACGTTATGGGTTCACCTTCACACAAATCAAGATTGGATCGGAATTGCATCTAAAGAAGAAAATTTGCATATTCTCTTTTCAGATAAAGTTCCCCGTAGCACTCAAATCTATCAAAATTTCATACTCTATTTAGAACCAGAATGTACAGCAATTTCTGACACTGCAACCTTAAAACCTGAAAACCTAATCACAGCTACAATTGAAATTCATCAAACTATTACGTTAACATCACAAAAATCACTTGACAAAATTTTTACAAAACATAACTTAACAGATATACCTGTGGACTTAATAAAAGAAACACACATTGATCCAGAACGTTTGCAAACTCTTGGTAAAACTTTCAATGAACTAAATACCATCGCCGACCAAATATTAGAAAATCGTATCTATCACTTGGAAAGAACAATTTTTGTCTTATCTTCAGTTAGCAGGATAGCCCTTGGTTCTGTCCTTTCTGTTTTTCTTTACAAAATTGGGCTTTTCTCTAGTGTTATTAGTCTTTTCAAACAATTGATCGGAAATTGTTGTAATCATTGTAGTTTTAGAAATCGTGCACCGACACAACATGTAAGCTATACTGTGAATCACAAACATTGAACTACTAATTCTGCAAATACCAAAGTAAATCCCGATGTACTACGGAGACTTGTTCGTAAATAACGTGTAAAATTTAAGTATACCTCAAATTTGTCTAAGGAGGGAGGTGTGAGCCGTCGTGTATACGTGTAACGTCTTGTGTGATTGTAGCAGTTAGTTAGAAGTTTAAGAAATAGTAACAAGTTCCCAGACAGAAACTAGAAAGCCTCGCGAGGTAAGTCGGTCCGAGTCCGGTCATGTATTATAAACATTAAACAAAATCGAGCCGAGAACGCTCGTTGCTTCCAAGAGAAGCTCGTTGCCGCCATGAAAGTCGAGAAGACAAATTAAAAAGCACAAATTAAAAAGACACGCGCCGACATTGAAACCAAAACAATCGGTGACTTTACTGACCTAGAAAGTGAACACGGGCGTAGTTACTCGCCTCTGAAAGATCGACGAATGAGAGATCGGTAATTCAGTAGAAATCATGGAAGGGATAGAATAAGGGACGAATCGAATGGTAGAGATCAAGGAATCCCCACTCTCTGATTTCTGAACAAAAACCCCGGACCTTAGATTCGGAGAGCAGTTCCGAATCAGTTCTAAATCAAAGTTTAAATCAAAAGTCACGTCAAGCATTGCGAGCGCAAATACTTATAAAGTGTGAGTTGTTCTTTGAGTGAAACTTTGTGAGAAAAATAAAGACATTTTTGAGTATTGTTGGTTGCGATTTTTACATGATGTAATCATGTATCTTTTTTCTCATTGAAGAAAACCAAAAATTTGTACTTATTCTCTGGAAAGTTTTGCAACAAATGAAACCTTTCTACTGCTCGAACTATGGCAAGCATTTCAATCTCAAAATTGTGGTATCGAGATTTTGCTTGGTTGGTGGCGTGGCAAAAGTATGCTACAACCGACCATTTATCATTACATTTTTGTAATAGCATCTAAACCAGACGAGTTTGCATCCGTAATTCTGCTTCCGCGATTGGATTATATAGCGCCAAGATCGGTTCAGAGGTAAGTTCCCTTTTCAATTGATTGAACGATTCTCGACATTGATCGTTAAAATCAAATACAACATTCTTGTGTAACAAATTATGTAACGGCCCAGCCTTGAGAGCAAAATTTTTAATAAAGTTTCTAAAATAGTTGGCAAGCCCTAAAAATCTTTGCGTTTTATGTAGATTGGTCGGCTGTCGGAAACATCTGATAGCTTTGATGTGTCTCGGGCTTAGGGAGATTCCGTCAGCAGAAATGACATAACCCAAAAATTCAATTTTGTTTTTCAAAAATTGACACTTATTATAATTTAAATTGAATTTATTGTAAGGCTGAGTGTAGTTTTTCTTGCTTTTAGGTTAAGTTCGGGTAATTTCCGATCCAGATAGCGTTTTTGTCGCGTTACGATGCTACTTACCTTACTTTGAAATTGCATCCAATCAGCGTTGCGTTATGCTTTAAACATGCACGGACACTCAATGGCTACACGCCGATTGGGTAATACGTACTGTGAGCGGTGAGTAAGAGGGCACGCAGAGCGCGAGAAGAAGAAGAAGAAATGAAAGAGACGTTAGCTGAGTATTTTTCTCAAGAAAAGAGCATAGGCAAGACATATTTTTATACGTAAAACGATAAGCCTTTGTGCAAAAGTGAGAATAAAAGTATATTTTATATTGCGTTAACGAATGTGTTATATGCAAGATTTATTAAACGTGTTATTCGTGATTTTGGCATTCTATCATCGAAGATTTCTATTATCTTTGAAGTTTACTTATTCGTTCTACTACAAGAGATCTGGCTTCTCGGTTGAGATACTCTACAGACAAGATTCCCGGGCTTCTTTGTTAACTATTTGCCCTTGGAATTTAAAATAGTAAACTTACACATTATATTTCTTACATTATATTTTTTCAATTGTGTCAACACTTCTCTTAATATTTCTAAATTCTGATCGACTGTATGTGTTGGAATTAATACGTCGTCAATATAAACAATTCCCTTTTCAGCACGGATTAACGGGTCTAAAATTTGAATGAGGCGCTTTTGAAACTCCGCGAGTGCCTCTGAGGGTGCGTTCCGTTGCACGCATAATGCGCATAGACTACATCAGAGAGAAACCTGAGAGCGGCCATGCCATTGTAGTTTCTTACGACGGTTTTAGCCGCTGGTTTTAGCCGTATTTTCACAAAAGTGGAACTCAAAGGCCGTTCTCCATGAAACTCAAGTCGCAGGTCTCGTGGAACTGATCAATCACGTTGGTCGATTGGCTGATTTGACTCTGCAATTGGTCAATTCCACGAGATCTGATACTTGCGTTTAATGTAGAACGGCCTTTGAGTTCCACTTTTGTGAAAATACGGCTAAAACCAGCGGCTAAAACCGTCGTAAAAAATTACAATAGGATGGCCGCTCTCAGATTTCTCTCTGACTACATAAAGAATCGTTCCGTTTCACTCAATGCGCGCATAAGAAGTACCGATAACGCACAGAATTCCCTAGATCCTCTACCACTTCTCGCGCATCAACTGTGCATCAGCTACAGCAGCTCAGACGTGAAGCGTTTGATGCAGGAAGTGATGCATTGGCGGGATCGAATTTTTCAAATGAAATTTGTTTACTTTTTTGATGTTGAAGTTTTGCTCGTGCAAAAATGGATCGTGATCTGATCGAGTTATTATTGACGAAAGCAATGAGATTATTACACTTTTACTAAATAAGGAAACTGCTGAGAAAGCTAATCAAGGTAGTAAACATATATACTTTACATAATTAACCTCAAAAATAACGAAAATAATTTTCCAGATGAACAATTTTTGCGAAGTATATAAATGAATACAAAAAGCAACAAAATGCTGGATTAAATGATAGATTAAAAGATGTATTATCAGATAATTCAACTGAACCCAAAGAACTTAAGACAAGTACAGTTTCTTTATAATATAACATCTTACTATAAACAATTAGTATGACCTTTGCAATAAAATGTACTATGATTTATTAATAAAATTTTAGGTGGATCAAAAGGTTTTGTGTGGCCTGATGCTGCAGTATTTTTACTTATTGAACTATATAGAGATAGAGAACATGAATTTAATAGTGGGATGAAGAGACATAACGTCATTTGGGGAGATATTGCTGCCGAAATGAAAGAAGTCAACAAGAATTATACAGTTACTGGCCTCCAGTGTTCTACAAAATTTTCAGGCCTGAGACGAACATACAAAAATATATATGAGCAGAACAGAAAAAGCGGCAATTCTTATAATAGTTGGGCTTTTTATTCAGTAAGTATATGCATGTGTTTGTATTATAATATAATACTGTATGTGCTATATGTATGAACTAACAACAAATTCGATTAGATGCACTAGTGCGCACTGAGTGCGCCTTGTTTCAGTGTGTAGTAAAATACTAACACTGAAATATTCTACTACATATTGAAAGAAGACACACTCAGTGCGCACTAGTGCATCCAATCGAATTCGTCGTAACAAACCTGATTTTGTGTTTATAGGTGATGGACTCATTAATTGGTGATAAGGCTTATATAAAACCTCCAGCGAAGGCCCAACACTACTAAACCTAGCAGAATCTACATCTGGATCATCTACATCAGAATCTTTATCTCCTTTGCTTCTTTCAGAAAATGTAAAAAATAAGTCAGTTTCAGAGAATTTAAAAAATAATAATATATGAACCAATAAACACAATTAGAAAAAGAGTACAAGTCGCTTTTATATTTTATATGCATAATACATATTTGTTAATATGTCTATTAATATTGCAGGTGCGCCTAAAAAAAGACGAGTTGAAAGTATCTTTGAAAATTATATCAATGATATACGATGCGAAAAAGAGCGCGAAAAAAAACAGTGAGACGAAGAACGGAGAAAAAGAGAAGAACAACGAGAAGCAAAATTTGAAGAAAGGAAAAAACAACGTGAAAAAATGCACAATGATAACATGGAGATACAAAAATCATTACTTGCCATTCTGCAAACTTTAGCAAATAAAAAATAAAAATCGGAAAAATTACTTACCATTACTGTAGTTATATGTGCACTGTGATATTTAGATTAATATAAAATGTGCACTGTGATATTTAAGTTAATATAAAATAAATAATATATATTAAAACAATATGTTTCGATATGTACATGCATAATATAAATATAATAAATATGCTATACTAATACGCTTAAAATCTGATCTTTTTTATACCATTATTAAACTCTCATATATATTTACAACTTCTATTCTATTAAGTACAATTATATTTTAACAAAGTTATTAAAGCATGATTTATCATATTTTTATTATATTTTAGTTTTATTTATCATTATCCACGCGTTTTGTCAACAATTAATGTTGTATATAATATTTCTAATTCAAAATTTGAAGATAGTATATCTTCATTTTCAGTTTCATTATCTTTATCTTCATTTTCACTCGAGTTTCTCTCTCTCTCTCTCTCTCTCTCACTAGTACTGTTAATAATAGTTTCATAGTTATAATTATTTTTCATTATTAACATTAAAGCTAACAGTTTGTCGTTTATAGTAGCCATTTTTGATTTGCATCAAATGCATAGAAGTCGTTCCGTTTCCAATCGCGCATCATGCGCAGTAACGCAACAGAACGATATCTATGCGCGCAGCACATTGAATGCACTCTATGCTGTCAATGCGTGCAACGGAACGCACCCTGAATATCCGAAAGGTAATCGCTTATATTCGTACTGGTCATTGGGCAAATGCAAAAAACTGAGTTGAATTTTTATGGACTTTAATTTGGTGGAAACCGTCTTTTAAATCTAGCAATGTAAAAATCGATTTGCCAGATAAACGTGACAAACAATTCTCGATGACTGGAAAAGGATATTTCTGTTTAAAAATTCTATTTAATGGTCTCAGATCAACGCATTACCTTAACTGTCCATTTCTTTTCCGAACGGAAACCACCCGTGCACAAAAAATCGTAAACAAATGGTTTAAATACGGATTTGTTTGGAAAGACATGACCTTCAATACTCATACAATTTTGTACCAGGCAATCGATTCCTCTGACCAATGCAACAATTTAAAGACAAAAGTTTTCTTTCCGTTTTTCACAGTTTATTTTCAATAGCCGCCATTTTGTAAAATATTGCTTGTAATTAAAATTTAAGTTTTTGGTTGTTAAGAAGAATAGGAATGATTAAGCTTGGAATTGAGCTTTTATTTATCTTGATACGTTGATTTGTTGCGGAGTTATCTGCTATTAAAACCTGGTAAATAGTTGTGCTAAAGTTAGGTGGCCCATTTTTTTGCAGGTGAGTGTATGTTAACTTGATACTTTAATAATATTTACGTTGAAGTGCTAACCTAATCTAACCTTGAGACTGAGGCCTTCCGGGATCGTACCACCGTCAACCTTGGACGAGACGAACACGTTTCGGGAAGATTCGAGGCCTTCGGATGAGGAAACCGATCGTCTGTACGACGAGGCGGTATCTAGACTGGCGGCAAGGCTCAACCAATTTGAGGAGCGGGTCGCAGAAGTCAGAAGGAGGACCGGTTTTGAATCTTCGGGCGATGAGAGGAGTGTGTCCCACCGTTCTTCTTCTTCTTCTTTGCATTTATGGCCCCACGCCACTTGTACGGTTAAGGCAACGGCCAGTCTTTGATTGGGTGTGCGTAAACACCGTAGATAAATAACACTAAAGTGGGCTAAGTCTTTGTTGTGAACTGGATTTTAGTGACTACTACGTATTACTCGATCGCGGATGTGTACGTGTTTACTGTCCCTCGGCAGGATAAACTTACAACGCAAGTCCCCCTACCACTCATAAATAGTATTACTAGGTCTAAAACCGTGGTTTGGGTACTCAACACCAAGACACGGAGGTATACTTTCGTTAAAAACACTGCCAAACAAACAAATCAGTGTAAAAAACTCCGAAAAAAGTCCAAAAATATTTAAGCGTAACTACGCACGTCCAGTCGGTACGGCCGACGCAACAGCTCTTTATGTCCCACCGTTCGAAGTGGTCAGCTTCAACGAAGTAGAGACAATAGAAAGTTTAGAGACAATCAGTCTATAAGTTTCAGTTTTAAATAGAGCGAGGAACACACATGCGTATATATATACACATTAATATTTTTGTATTTTAATCCCTTGATATTCATATTATAACCACTGCATGTTTTTCCTCGGAGGTGCATAATATCTCACGTTTTAGACATTTGAAAAACCCAATCAAGATGTCTTTTAGTTTAGAGGCACCCATTCTTGACGGATGTACTCGACATGATGACATTTAGAATTTTTGGCATGAATTGTTGAAAAGTTTTATAAAACTATGAATTGTGAATAAAACTTAGCACAGTGCGGTAATTTTTGGTGACAATTACGTATATGTGGGTTTGAGTGACAATTCGGTGATTTGGGAAATATGAGTCAACCAACTCCCGTAAAATAAATTAATTGAAATGTTCAAAATTCTAAATGCCATCATTAGTTTGTTATATTTAAAGATTTATGATCTGGGTTTGAGTTAAAATTCGGGTATTTCAAAAAAAACTTGATAGTCGAAAGGCACTACGCCGCAAATACTTGGTATAATCAAGAAAGGTGAATTGTCGCTCAAACTTGCAGAAGTGGCTTATTATGATATAAAAAACCACTGACAGAAGTTTTGGCGACAATTAGGAGAAAATATTTAAACCAAAGGCCGATACGAGCATAAAATTACAGGATGGTCGTGTATAATAATTTGTCTTTATTCAAAAATTCTAGACGTTTCGGTCACACAATTTTGGACCTTCTTCAGTAGTACATAATTAAGTCTGACAAGAAAAAATAAAAAATAAAATAAATAACAATGAATAAAATAAGCGCAACACAACATCTTAGTAAATTAAAAATAATATAAAAAAACTCACTTAATTGAGAAGTAACAATGTAGTACACAACATCACTAACAAATAGATGTCAAATTTATACAATAATATAATGTGTACTGGTGAGAAAACATAAAACAGTCATATATATATAGATATCCCCACTATCGGATCAGAGGATCGAAAGGTTCGCAATAAGTCGAATAACATGTTTAC